GGGCAGCCATGGGGGGTGGGCTGGGGGAGCGGGCAGGGGCTGGGGGCTGGCAGGGGTCCCCCCATGGTCCCCTCCCCTCCCCATCCCCAAGCCCCTAATACTTACCAGCTCCAAGCCCGGCTCCAGCTCTCTGCTGCAGCCAGCAAGGACTGCCCAAATCATCGAAGCTTTCTGAATCTTTTCCAAAGATTCAGAGAGCTTTGAATCAATTTGGACCTTTTTATTGGTCCCCTGATTCGATTCGGATTTGGAGATTCAGCCACCGAATTGGGCCGAATCTCCTCTGAATTGAATCAGCACATGAAGTTTTGCACAGCCCCAATGGGAATCACACTAGGTACAGGTCCCCCAGAGAGGTCCAGGCCTTAGGGAATGAGTGGTGGAAATCAAAAGAGTGTATGACCTTGGAAAAAAGGTGCGGAGGGAAATCTTATTACCTTTGTAAGTAAATGATTATCTAACGATTGCTGATTTGCAAGATGTGTATAATTAGATCTAGGTCCCCCAGGCCACCACCATTGAGGGGTGGATCCAGGATTTCCCAAAGAGGGGTGTGGGAGCAGCAACCTGCACTGCAGGGGTGGCTGAATCCCCAGCTCCCAGCCTGCTTCACCCACACCAGCATGGGCATACTTTTTAAAATCCCTAATGCAGGTGAACCCCCCCACCTCCTTTCCCCTTCCTGTTCAGAGGGTCAGCTCCCTCCTCTCCAACTCCTCTGCCTGCTGCTGTAGCTTTCTCCACTGCTTGGGGGTGGGGAAGCTCCAGAGCCAGCTGCACTGAGCTGGAGCTGGGCTCAGCTGGGAAGAGGACAGTAGCAACAGTGTAGCAGGAGAGTAGTTCCCTCCACCCTGCCTATATCAGGTGCAGGGTAGAAGATCCCTCATGTTCTCAGCTAGGTCTAGCCCCCTCACCGGGAGCAGGACTGGCTCTGGTGCTTCCCTGCCCCGGTACAGCACCACCATTGAGGGGTGGATCCAGGATTTCCCAAAGAGGGGTGTGGGAGCAGCAACCTGCACTGCAGGGGTGGCTGAATCCCCAGCTCCCAGCCTGCTTCACCCACACCAGCATGGGCATACTTTTTAAAATCCCTAATGCAGGTGAACCCCCCCACCTCCTTTCCCCTTCCTGTTCAGAGGGTCAGCTCCCTCCTCTCCAACTCCTCTGCCTGCTGCTGTAGCTTTCTCCACTGCTTGGGGGTGGGGAAGCTCCAGAGCCAGCTGCACTGAGCTGGAGCTGGGCTCAGCTGGGAAGAGGACAGTAGCAACAGTGTAGCAGGAGAGTAGTTCCCTCCACCCTGCCTATATCAGGTGCAGGGTAGAAGATCCCTCATGTTCTCAGCTAGGTCTAGCCCCCTCACCGGGCGCAGGAATGGCTCTGGTGCTTCCCTGCCCCGGAACAGCAAGGAAAAGCAGGTAGAGGAGGGCCAAGGAGAGGGAAAGGGCAGAGAAGGGGTGGGCTTTTGATCAGGAAGGAGAAGGGAGGGAGGACCTTCATATGTGTTATGCCAGGGGTAGGCAACCCCCAGCATGGGTGCAGAGTGTGGCATTCCAAAGCATTTTGCCTGGCATGTGCGCCTCGGGGCAGACAGCAGGGAAGAGGCCAGGGCTGCAGTGCCACAATAAGGATTGGGCCCCTTGTGTCTCCTCCACCATCTGCCCCTGGCACGCCAATATCTTAAAAGTCGAGGTTGTGGGTATTTTTGGTACTCAGCTCAAAAAGGTTGCTGACCCCCTGCGTTAGAGGGACTTTAAAAAGTCCCCAGAGGCTTCTATGGTACAATGCAATCCAAAAAGGGGGTGCAGCCATGCCACTGCACCCCCATCTGGATCCTCCCCTGCTGCCATCCCATTGCTGACTTACCTTGGTGGGGTCATAGTAGTGCAGGAAAGCAGGCTCAGCCCTCAGAACAAAGCGCCTGACCTTCCAGTTTTTCCTTTTGTGCCCCTGAGAAATGAAGAAATGTAACTAGAATTAACATTCTCATTTTCACTAAAGGTCCTGGAAGTCCTTAAACATACTCCTGGAAAGCACTTCCATTAGTTTATCTCACTTCACATGAAGAGCACAAGCTTTGCATTTCAGGCAAGAGTGGACACAGTGGTGCTAACAGGGCGAGGGTAGAGGTCAAACCTGAAATTTTGCCCCTTTGCTAAACCCAGATTGGGACTTTCTTCCCAGCAGGCACAGCAAGCTGAACAGACTCCCATGTACTTAGATATCTAGGTTGTAACCGTATTGGTCTAGAGGAAAAGGCAATCAAGACTCGTAGTAGTTATGATATCTTTTATTAGACCAACAAGTTTTTTGCAAAAAAATGTCTTTAACTGCAAGCTTTCAGGCACAAACACCCTTCATCAGGCATTGGAGAAAAGATTGTAAAGGTTTTCCTGGGTATAAATGAAAGTTCATATTTTATTTTCATATTTCAGATCCTCACAGCAGGTGAGAGGCTCCAAACCACCTAAAAACTACCCAGAGGAGTTTTCCATCTATTGACTCCTCTGTGAAATCCTATGAAATATGAACTTACATTTCTACCCAGGAGAGCTTTTATAATCTTTTCTTCAATGCCTGATGATGGGTGTTTGTGCCTGAAAGCTTGCAATTAAAGAATAGTGTTTTGCAAAAATTGTGTTGGTCTAATAAAAGATATAATCTTTACTGTGAGTCCTGGTTGCCTTCCCCTGTACTTAGGGTTTTACAGCCACGTGACTAGGCATAGGATTTTCCTCTCTTCATCAGGATAAAACTATTCCAGCATCATTTTAGAAACATCTGATATTTCACTGACCCTGTTCCAATCCATGGGCATTTACAGAGGTCAAACATTAGGTTAACGGCTGATAAAGAAGCACTGACTAACTTCTGGAATGATTAGGTCCCTGAGGTAGTGTACAACTTCAAAGGAGGATTTTGAGCCACTAGGGAACAGGGACAAGTAAAACCCCTTCCTAAAGTCTCAACTGCCCCCACTTCTGCTTAATGTACTCAGTCTCCACCCACTAGTCATTCCTCACTCTTCTCTTGAGATTAGGAACCAGCAGGAGGCAGCAGAACATGATGATGAGGCTAGAAAGAAAAAGAAATGGCACAGAATCTAGCTTTGTTCTATGCCAGCACATAAAGAACTGCTGCCCCTTTGGAAGTAGGGGTAGGTTTGCCAGCAAACCTGGCAAAGGAGGAGGAGGGAAGGAGTTGTGGAGGATTTAGGTAAAAGTTGTCAATTTTAGAGGGCTGCAAAGGACAGAACACATTTATTTGCTCAGCTGACAAATGGGATTCCAAACCTTGTGTTTCTGTCCACCCCCTTTCACAGACCTCTCACTCTTGTAACAACTGTCAGGCAATAGGTTTAATGAGATTCTCCTACCCCATTAAACCCACTGCCTGACATCACCTTGTGCAGGTGATTAATTTACAGTATGAAACACGAGGATTAAAAAACCAGTTTGTTCTTGGTAAGTGTCAGAGTCTAACTTTCACAAACGAAGACTAGGAGCCTGCAAACAGTTACCCATTGGTAGAATTACATTTGAAGTCAATAGGACTTAACACACGAGCCACTATATGTATACATGTAACTGTTTGCAGGAATAGAATTTATTTCTGTATAAATTAATCACTCAGCACTGAAATGCAGCCAGCTCTGTGACAATGATACAATAGGTCTTTAACAGCACCACAAAACAGATTACAAGAAGTATGAGGAAGAAGAATAGGTAACAGTGGCAATGTTAGAGCAGTGCAAAACATGCAATTTGCATGCAGCTCTGAGGTGGTCAGTGGCCCCTGCTGCCTTATGGTTACATTTTAGCATGATGCCCCATGGAGGCACATGTAATTACTCAAGACGGAATTGTGCAGCAGTGAGTTCAACTGTTTTCTTACATGTCATTCTATAAACAAAGAGACTTCCTTCCCATTTCCACCCTTGCTCTCTATTTTGCAGTATTAACACAAGGTATAATTCTGCAGCTACCTCACTTCATTCTTGCTCTTAATATTCATATTTACCCTGAATGTAGCCTCAGAGTCTTGATTCTTAATAAGATAATCAAAAGTTGTATTTACCTGTTTTACTAAATATCCTTGTTTTACAATTGTTCCACTTAATTCCAGGATGCTGAGGTGCATGTCTTCCTTAGAATTGGTCTTTTTCTTATAGCTTTCAGCCTGCAAGTGGGAAAAAAATGTGATAGTTGGAAAACTTTTTAAAATGTTAATTCCAGTGAATACTAGTAAAATAACATACAGAATACCTTTGCATGGATTTTCTCATCTCGCACAGGGCTGTTGTTAACATGTTATTTTGTTTCCAGATAAATATATCTAATTCTGCATTGCTGTTGCATATCTCATCAGTTATACAATTACAAACAACAACCAACAGACCACAAAATGTACACCACAATGATTTTAATTTTTAGCCAAGCCTCCTTCTATCTTCCGTTAGTTCAAGCACAGGCTCTCTAAGCTTGCAGCAGGAGTCCCCATTCAAATCCTTTATTTTTCAACTGGTAGGTGTTTTCCTACCCAAATAGTTATTCCTTTCTGATTAAAATAAAAGCATTGGCACTATTAGAAATCCCAAAGCTTCTCATCTTTACGTTGTTCTTCATATCCATTTTCACCTTCTATATATATTTTGCCATTTAACACATACAAATGATCTCCCCACATGCTCTTTACCACTCGCCAAAGTAAGCATGTCACGAGACATGGGGAGATACCACTGCTAGAAGTCACATCACTTACAAACAGGTACAGTGCTGTGGAGTCATCTAGGAACTGTTCAGCTAGATTGCCACTGCGCATGGCTTCAGTGCTTCGGGCTCCAATAGGCCTGATGAAGTTTTCTTCCATCAGCATGGAAGCAAGTGTGACTGCCTCAAGTCGAGAGGCAGAAAAATTGTTGGAGATCAGCCAGTCCACCACTGCAGAACCTACCAACAGAAAGACAGCTTTCAAACAGCTATCACAGTGACGGACAGACTGATCACTATCCCTGTTGGCCCCTCTCCCCCAATGCATTCTAGCTTTAACATCATAGCAAAGACAGGTCAATGCTGAGCCTTGCAACAGTGACAGTGTTAGGGCAGTGTGAACCATGCAGCTTACATGCAGGCCTGAGGTTGCTAGTGGCATTTGCTACCTTATGGTTATGTTTTAGCATGATAATCTAATAAAGACTAGGATCCCAAAACTGGACCTCTGCGTGGAGGCCCCAGAAGCTAAATCCTGCTGATGTACAGGATTGACCCAAGATGTAGGATCCTATATTGACTTACATATTTCTAGAGAGTGGACAACAAAGCAATCAGGGCTCAGATGGGCCAGTACATTCTCTTGTGCAGGCATCTGTCCCTAACTAAGGGCTCTCCAGTGGATTCCTTTTCTCTGCAATATAAAGTCTCAGACACTGGAAGAATGGCTATCTGGGCTTTGCATACCTGTGAAGGTCTCCTTGTATGTGTTGCCTTGTTCCACATTGGGGGTCATTTTAATTCCACAACTGTTGTCATGCATTTTGTCCACAATGTGGCTGTAAAAGAGCAAAGGAGAACAGTGTTACATGGACAGACGGGGATTGGCCACATGCTTTACTGCCTCAGAGACACGGGCATTATTTCAAGAATAGATAACTACTTTCTGCTCCAATATGGGGGAATAGACTAGACACCGTGCTAAAATTTCTTTCAAAGCACAGCATAGGAAAAATGGATTAAGTGTCCCATCTGAAGTCCCATGGTACAGAGCAACAGGCTTAATGACTCTTGGAGACCTTCTGTTTCAAGAGTGAGACATTCTTAGTGAGACATTTATGTTGGAGTTTTTTATTTTGTGGACCTATTTATTTTATAGTCAGGGTTATTTTCTTTTCATTCTGAGTAGCAGCCTAGACTAAATGACCTCTTGAAATCTTTTGCAGCCATAGAAATAGTTCCTAGAAATCTGGGCCTCTATACAGCCATGACATGGATTCTGGTCATTCTTCCAAAAGAAAGATAATAGCTCTGTAAATCTTACCAGCCACCTGCCTAATTAGTGAATGCTAATCAATAAAGACCACGTTTTGACACTCAATCCAACACGACACATTCTAGGTTTACATACAACACTAGTGATGCTAGGACTTAGAAAGTTCTCAGGTCAGCCATAAGATACAGGGTGCGCTGCAGATCACAACTGGATTGAATAGCAATCCAGGACCAAAATGGCAGAGGTATATTGGGAGGAGATTACCTGGGCCCTTTTGGCATTGGGTGATACAACAGAAACAGAATTCTTAGCAGGGTTAGTTTCCACCCCCTGCAAAGATGAGGGCTTGTGAAGTAACCAAGGGCATACAGAGCTGCAGTAAACCCTATGCAGTGCAGTTGAGGGCCTTCAGTTGTTTGCTGTGGCTTTTACTTTGAAGGGCACCCATTCTCCAGTCACTGCATAGGACTGCTGATGAGCTCTGGCTGAGTGAAGAAACTGGGTTCTTTGAAGTAAAATCTGCAGCAAACAGCTGAGGATGTCACGCTTAGTTCACACTGGGTTGTCAGATTAAGTGATAGAAATGATCTGGGTTCCATGGTACCTGTGTAGACTACGTAGCTCTGTGGCTGTATGAAGTATTACAGGGTAGGAAACTGCACACTTACTTAAGACTGATGTTTGAGGGTAGTTTGAAGGAGTTCTTCATTCTGTGAAGATGTTGAACCTGCACTGGGTGCCCAGCATGAATGGCTCCTGTAATGTCCAAAGCCCAAGAGTCCCGTTCTTCCCTGGAGCAAGATTCTAGGAAATATTCTGTGTTGGTTTTTGTCTTCAGCTTAATTACCAGCTAGGGGCAGAGAAACAGTAATAGCATTTATAATCAACTAGGAATGCTCCACCTTCCTTAGTGCCACCTGAGTCAAATAAGGCGGCCTGCTGGATTTTACACAGAATCCTGGTCAGTCATTGGCCAGAGGGAGGCCAGCCCCAGATCAACTCTGAAGGAATCTTTGGAAATTTGTTTTGCAGATTTTTGCTTAGCTCCAAGAAATGTCTGTGGCATAGAGCCGCTGTATTTGAGTGAGCAGACCAGCCAAACATTGGAGAATGCAAGGATCTTAGGAACCTCCAATTCACCCTAACCTGGTAAGAGCCAAAAGCCATTACTACAATCATTCTAATGAGGGATTTATTGACATACAGTTCAGGCTAAGCATCATACATAAGCATTAAACCAACTTATTTCATTTGGAGGGAGACAGAGACACTCCAAGAAGAGCAAAGTAAAACACAGAGGGGGTGAAGAAGAGGAAGGAGGTATAGTTTCTTTAATTTTCTTCAAGGATTGCATCTTCTGTATTCCATTCCCTGCCCTTCCCTGCCCTGTCCTGCATATGTGGGCTAGCAGCCAGCTTAATCTGCTTCCTTTATTTGTTTTCTAACAGGAATTGGCTGCTGCTGAAAGTTTCCCTTGTTCTCCTTAGTGGAATAAGTTGAGGCATTTTCATCTATGCCCACATCTCCCATATGCAGACTTGTTTTTAAATACATGGTTCCATATCTGAACTAGTGCGTTTGGAGAATGACTTTGCCAACAGGAGTGGGAATCAGAGACAGCATGAAGAAATGCAGTACAACATCTGATCCTGACTTGTCCCATACTGCTGAAAGGTCGCTTAGTATCAGCTGGGCCCAGTTTTAGAGAGTATATAGGGTGATGAGGGACAAAGAGATTAAGAAAGTTAAGAACAGGAAAAGACTGGGGAGAAACTAAAGGAAAAGAAAAGGATGCCATCTATTTTTTCCAGACATACCGGTCTGTTCTCATACTCCAGGCACGGGCAAGTGATAGTGCAACCGTCCAAGAGGATCCTGCCCTTTGGAGATGGTTCCTTCCTGCCTCCTTCAATTTTATAATATAGCAGCTTGTCCTGCAGCAGAACAAACCACCTTACCTTCCAGTTATGGACAATGTGACCCTGCAGGAAAAGAAATTCCCATGATTAGCAGAGATACAGATATGAGAGAAACATGTTTCTCTCTACCCATTTCTGTTTTACATTAAAGGCATTGTGCCATTATCATTATGATATGCATACTCACTACTGTCTTCATAATGTCTATTATGTACAATGTTGTAATAACCCTACCAGCAAGGTTGCAGGCTTAACCAGTGAGGACCATTATCCAGGAACTTCAGCAAAGCCCCTTAACAAAAGTCCTACGGCGGAGATCCCTGGGCCTATTCAGAACTTTGTTTTCTGAACTGAGCTCTTTTCAATATCTTTTAAGAATATTTATAATTATTACACTTGAGTTAAAAAACAATTGCCTACCTTGTTTTTTGTTCAGTTTACTTCATTTATTTGTGTTCAGCCACCTCTCTAACCTGGAAATCTTTAGAAATGTACCACCAGCAGAAATCCAGGAGTTCAGACACAAACCATCATCTTGTTTGACAAAGTATTTCCTCTGATTTTATAAAATTATTGAGCAAAAGAGATCAGATATTTCCCTGGAATAAGCCTCCTCTTTGATGGCAAGCATTTTACTTCCAGAAGCACAGCTCAGATGAATGATTTAGAGGAACTGCCATTCATAGGCATCCTTTGGTCTACAGCATCAGGAATAGGGAGGAAGGTCTATCGTATTGAACTGGAGCCTGAAGTCAATGGGAGCTATTATCTGTGGAGTTTCTGCCTGGTGTTCAAGGAGTACATATCAGTTTAATTTTCTGTCAATCACTCTGGCATGTGGTAGCATATAAGGTTAGAAGAAGCCCTGAGAACTTGCAGTTGGGCAGTGGGGTTTTTCCTGGTTTACACAGTTTCCCCAACAACACTGCTAATTGGGGCTTTAGTCGTATTGTATCTGTCTCTCATCTTCTGTGACTAACCTGCTCACAATGTTCTTTCCTACATGATCTTTTTATTGGAACCTGAGTGGTGACTGCTACTGCCTCTAGGGCTATTATGCATAAAAACCCACCCCTTTTAGTCACAGCTGTGAATAACTGGAGCCTGAAGGCTATTTTTTTGCTATGGTGGCTAAACAACAGCTTGCCAAGGCGTGGGGAGGATCTGGCATAGACATGCTAGGTTCTGTCCTGGGGTGTTAGTTCTGGTGCAAGGGATCTGACTTCACATTTTTATGGGAGATGGAGGTCCTGATGCTCGTGAGAGGGTGGGGAGAACTGATAGAGTGGAACATGTAAGGTCCCGTCACAGCAG